AAAGTTTGCCTAAACAATTGCCTCTTTACAAAAATACTTTCAAAACCACACAAAGCAAAATTTCAAATAAAAGCAAGTGATCTAGCAAGTAACTAAGAGCCCATTGAAAACCATGGATGAAAATGGTGCTAATGCATTCTATATTCATAATCTACCCCCCGAACTCAAGAAATCATCTCAAAGGTCTTTCCTGTGCTTTTTCATCTTTCCTTTTGGATAAAAGAAAAGTCGGTGACGACTCTTGCTAAACCGCAACATTTGCGATAAAACGCAAAACACCCAAGTCAGTTCTCCTGCCGTATCACAGTCACATATAATCATCTTTTGTCGGGGGTGCCATCTAGGCATGGTTTGATAACATCCAATTATTTTTTCTGTAATCAAGAATATTGGGTTGAGAATTGTGGGGGGTTCATCCGGAAAAATCTAGATTTATCCTCTAAGATCTTTGTTAGATTTGGGGGTTTTGTTCAAGACTTTCAAAACAGAATTGCGGCTAACTGAAAAGTCTTTGGAGTTTGGTACCCAAGGAAGTAGCGAGAGAATAACGAATCAAATTGAAAGTACTTGTGTTTAATAGTTATAATTGATCGTGTGTGAAAGAGCTGTAGAGTTTGATAACCAAAGGAGAAGCAAGATTCGATAAATCAATTGGTAGCTATTGTGTCTTGGTCTTGCTCAAGATCAAAGGAAAAGAATGGATTGAATCAACAATAAACAGTTAGAGTTTGTAGGGTTGCTCTTGGAACACTTCTCTTGTAATCAACTTTTTGTATAGTAAGAAATTATCCTAATTTCAGTCCTTCTAGGATTGTTTAACATGACTGATGCACTTGTTTTATTATGCATAAAAATCATCATTGATTTTCTGATTAATGGAGACAAAATATGTCATTAATAATAATATTAAATTTTAAGTTCTTTTGGAACTATAAATAATTCCATCAATCAAAATTAAAATATCATCATTTACATAATTCTTACTATAATATTATTCAAGAACTCAATCACAAATTTCCTTCAGGAATGCTTTATATGTTCTTCAAAAATTATATCAGAAATTCATTATTTTTCCATCCTTCGGGGATGCTTTATATATTCTTCAGGAACTATATCAAAAATTCGTTATTTTTCCATCTTTCAGGATGCTTTATATGTTATTCAGAAACTATCTTTATATGTTATTCAGAAACTATATAAGAACATCAATATTTTTTCGATCCTTTGAGGATGCTTCACATGTTTTTCAGGAACAATATAAATTTATTATTTCTCTATTCTTTATGGATACTTGATAATTTCTTCGGAAACTATATAATAAATTATTATTTTGCTATCCTTAATGGATTCTTGATAAGTTCTTCAAAAACTATTTAACAAACTATTATTTTGCTATCCTTCATGGATGCTTAGTGACTTCTTTAGGAATGGTATAATAAACTATTTTTTTGTTATCCTTTAAGAATGCTTTATGTAACATCATATCAAAATTCAAAGTGAATAAATTTTAAAAAAACATAAAAGAAAAAGGTCAATATGAGTCCTGTTTATATGACATATGTAATAAATAAAAAATCAATATGAAATATCCTAATTAGTGGATATCCATAATCATGCCATTTATAACATAAATGAAATAAATATAAAAAGGAGACAATATTTTTTTAGCTTTCAGAGGAAACACTTTATACAAACCCAAAAATGAAATACAGACCACGCGATCCTAACAGATCCAGCAATCCTATAGCCTAGGAGACAAACAAAACAGGGGAAACACTATGGCTTTATGAGCGTACCTATGTGTTTTCAAAGATTGGGCTTGGCCCAACATCTATACACCACAATGTCAATTATTTTGGGACCTATGATACTAAAGTTCATGTCATTTCCAAAACACTTGTGGTTCCTGATCATCAAAGCTTCATAGATGGTTTTCGCAAAGGCGTATTTTAGACTGTTTACTTTCCAACCCTTGCCCTTGCATTTATCTATAATTCATTGAATTTCCTCTTTCCACCCAGATGGTTTATGGTTAATATTAAACCTTCAACTCGTGACATTGGAAGCAGAGGTGCTGAAGAGATTCCTTGTCCCTGCATAAACTACAATTGTCATCCTGAAGCATCCCAAATCTGATCAAACGGTCCTTGGTTGCCAATTTTTCATGGCATGCCATCCACAAGATAAAGATGGCACACGGTCTAGCCATATTGCCCAGAATGACTTTCCTTCATGGGACATGCGGAAAATTAACATCCATAGAGTCGTACATGAGTCTAGCACGAAATTTGTCCATCTACAGAAGAGTATTCAAGCTTCTAGCAAGGGAAAATTCATGTCTATACTTCAAAACAGTGTTAATAATCCAAGAGGAAATGCTTCTCACATTCATGGTCGTGATATCTAGCTCTTTTATATAGTAGCAGTGCACCCATTTCACCCATAGATTGTCGGCTTTACCACACAGATTCCATAACAGCATAGCGAAGTTAGCTTTGTTCCAAATCTCCAAATTGATTAAGTTGAGACCACCTTTCTTTTTGGACGCGCAAATCCTCTTCCAAGAAATAGGAGACTTCCTCTATATCTTCTCACTGCTAGACCACAGAAAAGAGCAGCAAATGGCCTTAATTTTCCTCAACACCTGTTTAGGGAAATTGAGGCATCTCAACCAGTAGTTTGTAGTTGCAAAAAGAACGCTTCGAATCAGTTGGATTCTTCCAGCAAAGATTAACAGTCTTGAACTCCAATGGTTGATCTTAGCAACAATTTTATCCCCCAGAGGCATGTAGTGAAACACATAACTTCCTGCTGGTCATGGGTATACCCAAGTAATTAAATAGAAGGGACCCCTAAGAGAGCTTTGTTGTGTCTTGTATCATGTACTTCATCTTCTCCTCTACATTACCAAAAAAAACTTTACATTTAGATGGATTAAACTTCAGCCCCATAGCCTTCGAGAAATCTTCGAAAGTGTGCATCACCAGATCAATAGATTTGTGGTCTACTCTAGTAAAAAGCAGGAGGTCGTCCACAAAGCTCAGATTAATTAGCTCCATTTTCTCACACTTCGCATGGTAGTTAAAATCAGGAATGTTATTGAGCTTGTGTAAAATACGATGCAGATACTCCATAATGATAGCAAGGGGGAGATGGGGTCCCCTTGTCTCAACCCTCTCTTAGCTTTCACTACCTGAGAAAGAACACCATTCACCTAGAATTTATAAGAAACCAAATTGATGGTGGTCATGATCCAGTTATTAAAAATCTGGGAGAAGTTAAGCTCCTTGAGGATACATTCCAGCGCCCTCCACTCAACTGTGTCATAAGATTTTTGCAGGTCCAGTTGTAGCATGCATTTGGGAGCTCCACCGTTTGTACTATATCCTCTGATTTTGTCATAAGCCAGAAGGATGTGTTCATGAATGTTTTGACCAGGAATGAACGCCACCTGACTCTTGTCAATGATCCCATGTAGAACCTTACTTAATCTTGCAGTCAGAATTCTGGAGATAATTTTTAATAAGATAGTGCAACAGGATATGGGTTTGTACTCACTAACCCTGCTCACATTCGCAGACTTAGGAATCAGGGTAACCAACATACAATTCAAGGCCTTGTACATCTTTTTTTATCAAAAAATTTTCTAATAACATCTCTCACATCATCCTTAGTGAATTCCCAAGTTGCTTTAAATATTTTTCCATTGAAGCCATCAATCCCAGGGGTAGAGATATCACTAATATCTTTTAGACTGGTGAAAATTTCCAAGTCAGTGATTGGGGCAGTCAAACGACAATTTTGGTCAGCAGAAATCTGGGTGCCCTTTCTCAAAGTAACAATGTCTATGTAGTTGAGGTTCGTGCTGCCTAAACCAACAATGTTCTTAAATTCACAATCTCCAGCTCAATGTCCTTATGTTCATAGAGGATTTTATCATCAGTGCTTCCAAGGGATGTTATTTGATTTTTCCTTCTTTTAGATTTCAGGGCAGCATAAAAGTATTGATTGCCATCTCCAAGCCTAAGCCACTCAATTTTAGCCTTTTGATACATCAGATTTTCTTCAATTTTGTTAAGATTCAGGAATTCAGAGGTATAATTATTTACCTTTTCAATGTGTTGTAGATTAAATTTATCAAGCGACAGGTTATGTTGAGTTGCATACAAGTCCTTTTTGGCCTTCTTAAGTTGTTAGGCTATTCCTTTGTACGGTTTTCCAAGGCCAATGATAATTGGATGGAGTCTTTGGAGTTTCTTCCATATTCTGTACATAGAAGATCCATTGATGGGGATCTTCCGGTTGTGTCTCGTAATCTCCAAGACTCCTTCTCTAGATAAAACAACACTTAAGAACTTTTAGGGAGTTCTACAAGGCCTTGTGACACCTTGATTTTTTAGACAAAGCATAACATGGTCAGAAACTCCATTGTCTATAATCTGAAGCACGTTATCCATATTGTGTTATTGCCAAATTAGATTCCCCAAAATGCAATCAATACGAGAGTAGATGACCCCATTAGACTGCTTGTTATTCCACATAAAATGATCCCCAAAATTTCGTGCTAGACTCATGTTCGATTCTATGTATGATTTTTCTCTTTACTTTCCTATTGTTTTTGGGTTATGTCAATCTCCACCAATATACTGGAATAGGAAACACCCAGTTTGCTAGCAGTATACTCATCAGTAAAGAGAGGGTTTCCCATTGCACTGCCTATCTTCCCTAAACTTCGAGCCCCCCATAGGTGTAAAGGAAGGTGGAGTAGTTTAACCTAAACAGGTAATGGACGCAACATATCATGTTTAAAATCAAACTCAGGACTCCATTCTTTTAAGATCATGGGCATGTTTTGGATGGTATAAGGTCCCCTCATAACCACTGCATCCCTATCCTTGTGTGACTTAAATTTCAATAAAAAATACCCCACATCACGGTAAAACATATCTGGTAATTGCACAAAATTCCAGAAACCAATCATATATTGTTTGATAGCGTTCATGCTTAAGTCCTTCCCTAACACATACATAAACAGAGAAGAGTCCCAGGATTGTACCTTTGACTCCACATCGACTTCTTCAATGTTTGCTTCAATTTCACCCTCAACAATCTTGGGTGCTATAAATTCTATTGCAGTTCCATTAGAGGAGATTTTGTTGCCACTAATGATGTCTACCCAGAGTTTTTTACCCGATTGTTTCTCCTTCGTAGAATTTATCAACGATTCATCAGGATTTCTTCTGTTCGGTTTGGGGTTTTCAAATCACAACACTTGATTGAATCATTTTCATTCTCAATCGAATTCTCTCCCTCTAAATCTTGCTTCCTTGTACTCTTCTTCAAAGTTGTAGCTCGAAAAGTTGGCGATGGTACCTTCTTATTCGGCCTCCCTCGCCCTTGACCAATTGTCCCACAGAGCAAAACCCTAGCTAGGATTTACCCTACTTGGTCCTTGATCCTAGGATCAGAAGTTTAAACCATGTCAGTTAAATATCAGATAAGCAGCAATTATGAATAGTGATGAACAAAACCCTAACCAGGAACTGTCAGATCTAATCAGAAATCACCAGAGGAAATAGTGATGAACGTATTATTATTGATGTGAAATAATAAAATTAATTGGGATATATAATATATTATTAGTTAATATCATAATCAATTCAATAATGACATAAGTAATATGAAATTAATACTCTTGATTAAATGTAACACCATATATATATATATATATATATATATATATATATATATATATATATATATATATATATATATATATATAAAAGCAGAAAGAAAGAACAAGTATTAGTACAGGTTACAAACACTGAAATCATCATGGAAAAAATAATACAATTCCAAAAGTATTTATATATGATCCGAAGGGTACAAAAGCGGAAAGATACAAAACAAAAAAAATGTCGCCAAGAAACATTGTCGACAAGCTAAGTCATCTTACACTTGTCTCGATTCTGCCTCGAACGACCTGAAAAATAATAATTGGAATGAGGTGAGATTACTAAATCTCAGTGAGTCTCCCTATCTTACAGGTTCGCTCAGTTCAACAAGGTGCATGCATCAAAACAGATTCACCGCAAATCTGAGTTTTCCTCACGGCTGGGAGCAAGTTACACCGTCATTGGAAGTCTCATAACTAACCAATGAGGTAATAACAAATACATGGCCAAACACAAACAAGTATGTAGACATGTATCCATGTGTTGTACTCCAAAGTTTTCCCTCCCATTTTCTTCAAGACATCTCCTCATGCTCCTAGGGTTTTCAATTGCTTAAGACTACTCAATATTTGATCTGACAAATTCTCCTCCTAAGCAGTTGACCTACAACTAGAGTTTCACTTTTATCAAGGAAATTTGAGCTTATAATGCCTCAAGTGGATTTTATGGTTCCTCATATGTCTCAAGGAATGCTCATGCCAAATCTCAAGCCTTTCATCACAAGTTTGCTCAGTCAATTGCTCAGATGACTAAAAATCCAATGTATTGGATAAAAAGTCAATTGTTGTCAACATACAGTAAAACTTCAAGATTTTTGGTCAACATCAAGATTTTAAGTCATGTTCACCATTTTATCAAGGGTTGATCATGATTCATCAAGAAACCTCAAGATTCATCAAAAGTCAAAAGTTGCCAAATTAGGGTTTTCTTAAAGAGAAATCAACTGAATTTTGACCAATCATAACTTTCACATGTTTCATCAATTTTTTCTCAACAAAAGCTCATTATGAAGGGAATTCAATTCTATACATCTTTGTTTGTTTAAGCTCAAGTCCAAAAAATGTTTCATTTGAGAGATATGGGCCAATACATTATAGGTCATTTAAAAAGTCAATAAAAAGATACTTTTTTTCAAGGCAACTTACATCAAGATAAAGTCTTCAAATGCGAAAATGATCAAAATATAGATTGTAGAGAACATCTTGAGATTTCCAAAAAGTCCTAGATCACCTTCATATCATAAAAATTGAGCGAGTTATGATTTGTGCAAGTTGGAAAATTGTGAGCAAATGCATGAAACCAAAAGTGATCAAACTTAGAATTTTGGGCTATGGGCTTGTGTTTCAAGGTCCATGCATGTTATAGGTCATAGTATGAAGCTCTGAACTTATTCATACACCCATTGGATTTTTATTTTATTTATTTTTTATTTTTATTTATTTAAAAAGTCAAAATAAATGAAATAAAACAAAAGCTTTCTTACAAAGGTCCAAGCCCAACATGTTTGACCTAATTTCAAGCATTATATATCTTCTTCATTTAGACAAGAGCAGCCACACATGAAACCCTTAAAACAATAAGCTATTCCAAAACTTTTAAAATTCTCAAAAACTAGGGCAAGTTATAAACCCTATTTGCTGCCACTTTCACAACAAACCAGCCGTTCCATTCACTTTCAAAAAGCTCTATAGGGTAAGGATGGATCATTCACGATGATTCAAAGAGCATAAAACTAGCATACTTGCCTTTCTGTTTCTTGATTTTTTTTCAAATTTGATACTACATTTGTCACTAGTATCTTTAAAACCTGTAGCTTGACTGATTTCCTTTTCCTTTCTCAGCTCATATACTTCTTGTTGTAACTTTTCCAACTTCTCCTGAAGTTCTTTATTGCTTGGAGCTTTTGTATTTGATTTTTTTTCAAGGATGTTGGAGTGATCCCAAATTCCTTACCCCTCACCCGATCAGAATACTCACGAATATCTAATTCTCGTGAGAGTATTCTCCTGCAATCATTATCTTCATCTGGAGGTACGGACTGGGAAATAGTCTCCTGAAATTCATATAAATATTTTAATTAAAGAATGATATGTTAATAAAAGAATGATGTAATTAAATAAATAAAAGTATGATGTAATTAAATAAATAATGTTATACTTACACATCTCTCGAAAATTTGTTGAACTTTTTCTTCAACAGCTCCATCCTTACACACACGGGCTTCCTTCCATAAAATGTGTTTCGGAAGAGATGTTTCAGAACTATACTCCTTTGTTAGCTACACATTAAGCCAAATAACATGATCAAATATAAGCGTGCATATATTATAGATACTTTGCAATTTATAGATACTTACAATAGATTGTTGTAAGCGTGCATATCCCATACGGCCTTTTCTGTATGGATATGCTGGACTTGATGCTCGTTGTCGATTTACGACACTTAAACTCTCAAATTTTTGGGTATTTCTTTTGGATTTAAAAGTTTCCCATTCTTCAGCTGTAATTAAATCTGCATATTTCTTTGGAAGCTCTGCATCAACAAAAAATTTATCTGCATCTAAGAAACTTGTTTGAGAAGAAAGCTCTAAACCCTCTATGTAGTTTCTCGGCCAATTTAAGAATATAATCTCTCCTGGTATCTTCAATGATGAACGACCTCTACGAAAATCATACACAAAATGCGTTAGTATAAGTAATTTAGAGACATAATCATCATTAAAAACAATTAACATCACATATGGTACCTGTATCTCACTCCATATTTTATCTTTAGCGGCGTCCAACACTCTTGCTCTCCAATCTTCACATGTAATTGGAATTTCTCTCCTTACCACCGAACCGAGATAACTCGTCAACGTTGAACCGTTAGGCTCAATTAGTTGTCCTTCTTGACTCCAATGCACATCATACTTTATGCCTTGGTCTCTATCCCGAATTATTCTCTTCATCATTGTTATTCCTCGTCTATATTCCATTTTCGTTTTACTAACGGCCTTATCTCCATCATGCACAGAATCATCACGTGGGTGATCATCGTTAGTAGCCATCTAACCTGTAATAAACATAAACATAAACCCAATATAAAATTCCATAGTCATTTAAATATATATAAAATGACAATGCCAAAAATTAACATAAACATAAACTTAAATGTAAGCACAAACATAAGCATAAACATTTTAATATGTTACCTCTTTCACTAACATCTCTTTCTTTTCTTGGTTGTAACATGAATTACTTGTTTCTTAACAATGCGGACGGATGGATTTATCCAAATTTCCTCATTATGATCATTTCTGATATATGATTCATCCGCTATAATATTCTCATCTTGATCATTTATAATATACGACTCATTCCGTCTAATACATGACTCATTTTCATCATCAATATCACCTTGGTCTACACCGTTATCATCAACCACTTTATTAGATAAAAGCACTATAAACCATTTTGTACTCGTCAGGTCAGTGACATAGAACACTTGTTTAGCTTGAGAGGCTAGAATAAAAGGCTATTCTTTGTACCCCTCCCTATTAAGATCCACTTGCAAAAATCCTGACTTATCCATTCGTATGCCACCATTACTTACCCACTTGCAACCAAAGATAGGAATCTGAAACTTCTCGTAATCAAACACCCAAATATGCTCGATAACCCCAAAATATGATAGATTTGCATATTTGGGGTTTAGGTCCTTCATACTTGAAATGTGCATTGCTTCAGCAAGCACGGTGACACCACTATTTTGCATAGTACTTTTATCATCTTGTTCTTTGGTATAAAATGTGTATTCATTAATTGCATATGCGCTATAGGAAAACACATGCAAACTTGGACCATATTCCAAACATCTCAACCTTTCTGTTATTGAAGCGGGATCTGAATGAAGCTTTGAAAAAATATGATCCTTAAACCATGGTATAAAACTTAGATTGTGCTCCTGTACTATCCAATTTTTATTTCTATTCTGATTTAACCCTTGGAGTACATCCTTGTGCATTTCAACATATGGCTCAACCTCACTGTCATTGTGCAGAACATACATATGCACTTGATCTCGTTTATCTTTTGATACTGTCACAATTTTATTTCCAATTAATCTTTTACCTTCCTTTTTTAAAAAAATATGACTTTTAGGGAGTCCAATGGATTGAACTTTGGACAAATATTCAGTACAAAACCCAACTGCTTCTTCAACAATGTATTGCTCAACAATACAACCCTCTGGGCGACTTCGTTTTTTCACATACCCTTTTAATACTTTCATATAACGTTCAGCAGGGTACATCCATCTCATATAAGCTGGGCCACACAATTGTGTATCTTTCACAAGATGAACAACTAGATGTACCATTATGTCAAAAAATGAGGGAGGAAAATACATTTCAAGCTCACACAAAGTAATAACAATTTCTTTTTGCAATGTTGGTAAGATCTCAGGATCAATCACCTTACTACAAATTGACCTAAAGAAAAAACACAACTTAGTTATCGCACTCCTTACTTTATCTGGAAAAATAGAACGTATACATATTG